TTTGGTAACAGATAGTGACAGTCTTTTACCTGTTTATAACGAGACTAATAGACTAATAACCCTTGACACGTAACATATTGTCATCATCGTCTTTTTTCTATAACAATAACTTGTTCCTAATTATCTGTAGGTTCAAGGTTATCCAAGTAGCTAACTACTTTCCTGAAGCTCATGTCGCCTTCAATTCGACCAATTCCAGCCTGGCGTACCAAATAATTACTGGAAATGCAGATATCTCTATTGGCTGCCTGTATCATGTCCTACCCCGATTAAGATTTGGGAATCCAATCATACCATTTTACACGGAAGAGTGAGAATTATGTCAATTTAACCCGCTAAATTACCTCAACTAATATTTATAACTGTTTAGGATTTACGCCTTCTTCCAACAACCCCGGAATCTTATGGAACACGGCAATGTTTTCACCAAACCGTTCAAGCTCGATCTAGTTATTGGCACGGTGCTAATATTAATTGCGATCGGAGCATTCGCAGAATTCTCAAAATTGTATTGGCTAGCCTTCCTCGTTTCTTCGTCAGGGTGTGTGAATGGGCTGCTTCGACCGTAGCGCGGCAAGGTTCGAAAACTAGTTGGGTTTGTGTACCTGAAAATTGGTTCTACATATTTTGCGATGAAATTTGATTTGTTGTCCAGGCTACCATCCAGCCTGGGTCGGATTACGGCGGGATTACGTAAAGTTTATCCTCTTTCTAGGAATGCTGTTATCATTTGCGTTAAATTCATACTCCTCGGCCGCAATCCTTTCCTACCTTAGATCCGATGATGAAATTATTCACAAATTTTCCCAGCTCGTACCTGCAAAATTCAGCATTGATGCTTTCACAAGTATCAAATCCGCCTTTCCAACAGATTCTGAAAATCTTGGGTTACACTCTTAAAAATAATGTTCGCCTTTTGAAAAGTAAATGCACTCTGAATTCTATATCAAGTTAGCGGTCTTAAATTTAGAGGAAACTTTACCCCTTACCGAGTTTCCATTAGTCTAGAATACATAGCTTAATTGAATTCAGAGTGCATTTACTTTTCGAATAGGGTAACATTATTTTTAAGAGTGTGTTTTTCGTGTAGAATGCTGTAATCAAGTACCGTGTAGTCGAGTATAAGTTTATTAATGAGAAGGGATCGGTCTAAGCTATTGAACGCTGATCTTGCATCGAAATACACTGCAATAACTTTACCATTGGGCTTATCTAGCGCATCATATACATATTTTGTAAACTCAATTAACGCAGTGTCATAAGACCTGCTCGTTCTGAAAGCATGTTGATTGAAGTTTTGACTCTATTCTAACTAGCAGTCTCTGGTAAAGGATTCGTTCAAATATTTTACAATAAATATTTAGGCAACTAATTGGTCTATAACTAGATGGGCAGGTGCGTTTGCCTTTTCCTTTGTAAATTGGGGTAATACATGTGTTTTTAAAAACTTGTGGCAAAGAACAATACGAAAGGACTAATGTAAATAATAAAGCTAGCTGGAAAGATACAATATCACTGCATTTTTTAAACATTGCTAGCGGTACATATAACTCTGATGAACTGTCCCTTTTTGTATCTATTAAAGCTTTCTCTACCTCGAAGTGGGAAATAGGTGGTAACATATCATTAGGATTAGTAGCATTATACTCTAGTTCATAATTTACAATTTTTGTCTGTAATTGCTATTCAGAGATGACAGGGTCAGAATTAACAACAAAAGTTGAAGCTAAAACCTCATTAATCTCTTCAGGAGTATCAATAATTGAGTCAGTAACCAACTTATTTATACCTCCACACGCGGTTTTATGGTATCCAGTAAGTAAATTAACAGTATAACCAAAGGTTACAAGTATCACCAATTGATTCTTTAAATTTAGTATTAAAATACAACTTTTTTGCACTGGAGATACTCATATTATATTTATTTCGAGCGTACCTATAATTCTTGCAACCTCTGAATTCTCCCTATCAGCAATAATTCGTAATTTGTTACGAGATTTACGCAGAATGGCTAGATCCGAAGTGTACCACGGATTAACTTTTGCTTTAACTTGTCGTCTTTTTAGTGGGGCAAAATAATCAAGTAAAGACATATGGTAAGAATTATAACGCTTAAATTCCTGATCCACTAAAGAATTTACATTAAACTGAAAACTATAAAGCTGCCTATTAAATTATTCGAAATCGCAGTTTTTGTAACAGCGATAGTTGATAAACTTTGGTTCGTAGTTAAATCTGCAAGTTTTGTGAATTAAATACGTGAGATCATGGTCAGAACTGGTAAAAGGAAAGTGGCCAGAGAGCCGGACATTATTGTTACTGCCTGAATAAACATGATCAAGAAGAGATAATCCTTTATGTGTTAGGCCTACCATGTGTTGCCGGAGTCGAAAATCTTTGACAACATTAAACAATGGGTAAGAGTTAGCGTCTCGCTTTGCCAAATCTACATTAAAATCACCTAAAATGTAGTAATCTAATTCGAAGGAGGATAGATAAATATTAAGTTCCCTGAAAAAATCTACTAATTTAGCAGTGGGGGTGGCGGGGTGGCTATAAATTGTTACAATTAAAATTGGCTTTGCCTTGAGTAAACGTAGTTTCACATTAACTATTTCAGAGTTAGGACTCATAGGTATATTACATTCAAGTTGCAGATATGCAAATCATTTTCCCCACTTTCACTTCCGTCATGGACAAAATACTTCCACTTTTGTGGACAGACATTTCCAGCTTATAGTATAGATGAAGTCTTGTACACTCTTAAAAATAATGTTACCCTTTTGAAAACTGAATAAATGTACTCTGAATTCTCAAACTGACGAGGTGTCGTTCGTACCCAGGCTACCCACTATATTTTTTTAGAACCTGCTAGGACCCTATATGAAGGATCCATGCATATTTCCGTGTTAGACTCATGTTTGGCTTGGCGCCAAATTAGCCAAATTCGCATTTTTTAAATTTCAAAACCGCCAGAACCTATTAAACCCTGGATGGATTTTCAAACATTTTGACAAAAATCATGACAAAGAGTTCGGTTTCCAGACTATTTATGGCCAAAAAATGACAAAAAACGTAATAATACCGTGTAAAAGGGTAAATATTAATGGCGACCCTAATCAATTACCCTAAAAACTAATTTCGAAATCACCCTTGATCACCGTGTCGAAAATGACCGATTCTTACATGTGCATAAGCAAAAAATCTCGTCCGGTTGCAATACAAAGGAAAATAAGTGACACCATTATTAATTTTCACATGCCAATGGGACAAAGGGACGATTACAAGAAAATGAATTAACCACACATTGAAAATAGGTGAACGCAGATCGGTGACCGGTCAGTTTGGTCTAAAAGTGAAATATATAATGCTGCGAAGCATTTGAAAGACGCCGTGGGCTCATATTTTACAACCCCTCGAATGGAATACATCCGAAAAATTGCACATCCCTTTAAATCAAATTTTCTTTTCATCTTCATACTAAAATTTAAATATTTAAATGACTTGATTGACTGAATAAATTGTATTATTTTAGTAAGTAATACAAAAAATACAAAATTGTCCAGACCAAATTATTCCTAAATTGACCTAGCATCACGCAGATCATGGCGTTCGACACTTATCACCGATTCCACAATATCGCATCACACATTTCTTGTTTTCTCTGTGTAATTGCGATTGCAAGTATTAAAAAAACATGATTGTAGGCATTTAATTGAATTAGAGGGGTCGCCCGGGGAAGTGGTGGTCAATTTTAAATTAGTAGCGGGGTAGTAAATAATAGTTTTATAGTATAAAATGTATGTACATATGCACATAATTTTCCAGACACGCCAATTGATGAACGATTATTAGTACCTATATATACGATCAAATGATGATTTTTTCGCGCTCTAACGATTTTGCTGTATGATGTCTTAAAATTTGCGTAATTTTGTGTACATGAAGAATCCGTAATAATATTGGGGGGGGCCCATTGGTGGTTTTTGCGCTACAAGCCAAAATGTGCGAATTTTGTAAAATTTGATTTTTGTCTCAAAATTGTAAAAATTGGGTCAAATATCAGTGGAAATAATTTAATAAATTATTTTGGACCAGAATTTGGCCACTGCCTTGAATTCTGGCCCCTATTTTCCAATTTGCAGGATTTTGCAAAATAATTGCATTTGGCGTATTAATTAATACACGATCAAATTATGGAATTTATTAAACGTTATTAACGTATTGTTCAATGCTAGACGTAATAAATGATAATCAAGGTGAGATGCTTTCAATTTGAGCATGTGGTAACTGATTACGACTTTTTGCTAATAATTCAAAATTTTGTTAACAACTCGAACGTTGTTATTTCATAATAAGTCGCAAGACCTTTGGAAAGATATTTGGCCACTGCCTTGAATTAAGATACCCTCTTGACCAGTTCGAGTCAAAAATATTTTAAGGTGCTGCTTGAGCCGGCTCGAATACAACTAATTGAGCTAATATCAATTTTTATGATACAACGGATTCATTAGATAAATTGCTACTAAATCGGAATTTTGTTAATCACGGCTAGACTTGACATGCATGAATCTTAAAATATATTATTTTACTCGAAAGTTTGTTCATAATTCAAAAAGTTCTTAATAGTTCTAAAGGTTGTTAATAGTGCGCCGACTTATTTAATCAACCGTCTGAATATCCTTTGTCCAATGTATGTATATCTACATAATATGTGAACATGTGTACATATATCAGTATTCACGTACGTACATACTGCATGTATGCATTTGTTTGTATGTATGTACACTCTTAACAAACTGGTAGTAAATCATTACTGGCCCAAGTGCATATATGACTCTACCGGCCTGGTAATAATGATCATTAATATATAGTAATGTTATAGACTAATCAAAAAGTTACCACTCGGAAACAAATCAATACCAGCACGGAGTGTGTATATGACTTTATCAGGTTTTTAATAGTATATGTATAACTATGGCTACAAAACTTGGACCTACCAATTAAATAATTTGCACACGTGCGTCACACAAAGTTTAGACCTGTGGGACTGGTTGAAGTATTTTTGAATATTTGAGTAAATATTGTGATGAGCCCCGGGTGTGGTTCACCAGCAATGACCCCACATCACTCGGCTATTCGGGTGGGAAGAGAAGATGGGGTGTGTATCGTCGTGGTCGTTGTGGTGCGTAATAATTGTGGAGGCGAAATGAGACTTGTTCAGACAAGAAGAGATTTTATTCCATTCTTCGCACACTCAATCTACACTATGTTGGGAGAGGTGCAGGCAAGGCAGAAGCCTTGCCTGCGTAAAAACTTGCTTTCAGAAGACTCGCCCAGACTCGCTCAGCTCTGTCTTCTGCCTTGCTGCCCCTTCTTTATATACTATATATATACCTATGTGTAACCTACTAATAGTTCGTTGGTCAAGGAAGTAAGAGCTATAAGAGAGAGTTAGCATAATAATGAGGGGAGATGATGGTGCAACAAAGTTGCAACCAAGAAGTGTGTCAAAATAGAATGTATCTTGACTTGCATATTAATGCATGTGATTAGCAAATTAATATAGGATTGATAAAAGGCTGATCTTCACATTAAAACTTGGTCTTGGGCGTGGTCGGAGAGCATAGGTGCCCGTATAAAAATTTTTACGGATCTTGTGCAGAAATTTGGCCAGATGTTATGCAGAGATTTGGCTGAATTTTATGCAGACAAATTTATGCAGGGTGATTTGCACATAAACTATGCAGGATTATGCATAATAATGCTATGGTTTTTCTTAAAATGAGAGATTGCTAGCCACAAGCTTTGTATGAAGAAAAGTCTCTTCATCAAACTATCGGTTTATAAACTTTTCTGCAGAATATACTCTCCAGAAATTTTATCCAGAATTATGCAAAACTTTGTATGCATAACTCATTATGCCGACTAACTGTGCGGTATTATGCAGAAGTCGCTACACGATTTTTATACGGTTGAGAAGGACTGAACTTGAAGCCCTTGGCATTACCTCAACGGCTACCACTTTTAAGCTACCCCGAGGCCACGTCGAGAAGAGGCCGGTCATCTGACCTTATTATCCGCAAAGTGCTGAGTAAATTCTCTCCTTGAAATTGCAAGAATAAACGGTCAAAACTAAAATATGTGCGCTACGGTGTTAAAAATAGAAAGACTGGAAGAAAAGTTGTTTCCTAACTGGTAATATTTTCAAATCTCGCGATTAGTTTTATTATCAGTGTGGTAGTAAATTTACTACCAGCCAAAAACAAATTACTTACCGTTGCAGTGGAGACAAAGATATTTTGACCACATAGTTGCACACACTAACAGAAATGGGGTTATGATTATAACCAGAAAGTAAACTCTACCGGAATGGTTATAAATTTGTCACCAGGTGGTTATACATTATTACCAGTTGTGATAAGTTTATAACCATTCCGGGAGAGTCACATACGTTTACTTTCTGCACTCTAAATAAAAATTTTTCAAATCAACACCGCCGTGTCAATATATAACTTAACCGCCTTGGTTACAGTGTTGATTCCGAGTTATGATGATGTTGATACCGATAGTTATAATGTTATGACCGGACGGAAAAAATTTCATTACCACTCGGAATCACAATTGTCACCAAGGCGGTTAAGTCATATATTGACACCGGCGGTGTTGAATTGATAAATTTTTGTTTAGAGTGTGGTTATAATCATGACCCCATTTCTGTGAATGTAGATACTCCGGCCAGTAATAAATACTTATAATTGGTTACCGAGTTTTAAGAGTGTGTTCTAGTATTTGTGAGTGATACAATATGTAATAGTACATGCATAAATTAGAACATATCTAGCTTACGTATTTACGCAAAACTCAAATCCTTATATAAGTGTTGTAATGAGACAATCACATCATATGGATTAATTTCGAGCATAATCCACAGATTTGGTTATCACGTGCCTTTATCTAAAACATTTCGTTATCAACTTATCCTTTCGTCCGTATAACGTTTAGAAGCTTCATGATCCCCAGTTCAGTCTCTTAACTGGTACAAAATCCATTAAAATGAAGCCGTCGACTTATTTACCAAGCTTACTTACCTTTGCACTAATTGCGATCAAATTACCTTGCGCAATTTCATACCACGTAGAATTGTTAGTTCGAAAGGCTACCTTGGAGTGGAAACTGCCACACAACGGAGGAGCCACATATCTTGATTTTTACGTCGATGTCGTCCAGCCTGAATTAACGGTTCATTCCGTTCTCTCTGACGTACCTGAAAAACCCGTGCTTGATAATGATGAGGTACCAACTTTATAATTTGTGTCACTAATATAGTCACCACGTCTTCCCTATCTTACTTGTGTCAAGCTTCACACGAGCAAGATATGAGACCCCAAACGGCCCACCAATCTTTTTTGTGTCGTAATATTTGGACGTTCCCTGCACAATGAAGCTAGGCGAGGGCGACCCAACTTTTTCCGGAAGGCCCTGCCCAGCTGACGTGGGCAGGCCGCAACATTTTGTAGGGCATGGGCTGGCCATGTTTTTGTCCAAAAAATTCAAACTGGCATCGAAAAAATGCATTTTTTCAATGCCAGTTTGAATTTTTTCAAATAGCTGGGCCCCATAGCGCCCAGGTATTCTCTTGTTCCCTTCTCAAAACTCATACTACGTTCCGTAGAAAAAAAAATTAACATTTGAAGGAAAACTAGGAAATACATATTTTGGGAAAATTTACTTACTGGTCCCAGGCTAGCTCTTACAATGCAAAGGCGTGAGGTGATTATCGCCGATCTGAATTTTAAATTGTCGCATGAAAAATATGTCGACCCGTATTTATTCGTTTTTTAGAATGCGCATGTTTCCGCCCGTGGCGGAATTTTAAAATAAATTTTTAGCAGAAATCTGGATTTTTCAAAATGCTCCAAGTTTTCGAATTTTAACCCGATTTCAAAAATTAAACACAATTTTTGCTCAGAATTACTTCCCTGAAAATATATAAATCCATTTTTGAAAAATTTTGAATTAAAAAAATTATTATTTTTGCATTTTTAAAGATTCAGAAATAGCATGAAATTTTAAACTTTTGAAATTGAAAGGTCCAACTTTTCCATGCATTTTCTTCTTCCAGATGAACACTACCTGCATCTTTCATGGTCCTTCCATCCTGGAAGGTATTACAGACACAAGATTAACTGAAGTGGCGCTGAGGTGCTATCACATATTAAGAAAGAACAACTCAGCGGACGAAACAGGTGATATGGAGTCATTTAATTGTTTTTATTCCAGGAGTCCTACACACTTCTAAGGTATGTTTAATGCTCGTATCTACGTTTGATTTCGCGCGGGATAACGGTCTCACACTCGGGGAAATCTGGGATTGTCGTCCCGTCTGCTTGATCACCAATGTCCCGGAATTTTTAAACCTTCGCTTCGATAATGTGGATGACCCAGACTTGACTCCCAGCGTGTGGAACTGTATCCGCTCAATCGTCTTGGACGATCCGGTTGCATGGATCGAGACCTTAAAAAATATGGAGGAATGGAAAACATATGTTAGTCCCCCATACACCGAGTTGTACGTCGTCGACGTGCAGCTGGGTTGGTTGGTGGGCGAGAGGGGGAGCCTTTACCTGGATTTAGTCCTTCATTTTGAACAAGTTGGGGACGACGATGGTGTGCCCAGTGGTCTTATTCACGCCGCCATTGTGGACGTTGCCCAGCCGAAAGAGAGCTCAGCTGAAGACGGGGTAGGCGAAAGTTATTTAACAAGTGTACGAAGTGTATGTGTGTAGAGGGCTTTCTGTGATTGATTTGTCGGTTCGTCCGTCAGCTCGATAAGTCAGCTCGAAAAAATCAAGTTCCCATAATTCCGGGTGACGATATCGACATGTAATTTTGGTCTTTCGAACCTTGACCACACGGTCAAGGTCAGGAGGTCATTGAACGTCAAAACTATGTCGATTTCTGAAGTCCCTACAGTCTCAAACTACTTTGTCGTAAACGTCGTATGTCGTAAACGATTAAAATAAAAATTTGTCATTTTCGACCTTTGACCTCATTCCCAAGGTCATCGAGATCACTGGGGGTTGCATCATTTCCAACATTAAAAGACTCCTAATTTGGTTTATCTACAAGCCGAAATCTCTACTGATCATTCTGGGTGAAAAGGCCACAGTTAGTATGTATGCCATGGGTCAAAACGTGCTAAATTTTTAGGAGATTTCATAAGTCACCATCCCGTCGATCTACATCGGCTACTTGGCCAGTGGCCAGCAAATTAATTTTCCCGCACTACACTCCGTTTTGCAAGTTTATTACATCTGTTTGGGGAATTCGTTTATAAATTTTGAATACTTTCGAAGACTCGAATGTGGTTGATCTCATGTATTTACATACATACTTTACAGAATCCAATCTGCCTGTTTCCTTGGTGAGCACGCTCACACTAAACTAACCTCTCTCGTCCTCGGCAACGTGACCAAGATGTGCTACCTGGATTTTAAAACCAACCAAGGTCAGGACAATGCAGGGAACAGAGTCGTTATTATGGACGATCTTACCGATCACGGCGTCACGATTGGTGACGAAGTTTACACCCGAATTACCCTGCGCGATAAGAAAAATTTAATACCGGCTGCTTTAAAGGATTTGGTAAACAAGCCCGGGAAAGTGTTAGCGATTAAGGATGCATTCACTGATTTCGTTACGGACAAAGAGAACGATCCGATTTTCAAATATGTCAACGACTATGAAGATTATGACGGTAAGATTTTGCGAACAACTCGAAGCCTCATGTGTTCATTTGGGACAAAACTTTACCAAATTTCGTTGCCGCAGGAAATTTACATTTTTCGAAAACCGTTTGTCTCAAGATGAGGGGGACTTTGGCGGTCCTGCGTCGCGTAGGATTTGCTAGTGCCCATCTAATATTGGATTGCGAACCAGTCGGCCTCTACGACCTTACCGACGATATACGTTTCCTGGCTACGTATGATCTGGATGACCCCGCGTTGATTTCAGAGGTGTGGAAATGCATTCAAATTGGCGTCCTGGATGATCCCAAAGCTTACGAGGAACACTTGGCGAGGACGGCTGAGCTAAAGAAATATAGGGATGCGAGAGAACTGTAAATTTGTTCGTGTATTTACAACGCTACTTGAAAGGTTAAGCATGGACAGATATGGGTTGAATTTTTTGTTAATGAGTCTTGGTCTTAACTGTTCTTAATATATTATGCGGCAAACTTTTAAAAATAAATCTATATAATCCAGTTTAACTTATAATAAATTGGGAGAAATAATAAATTATGGATAAAGAACCGTTATTAATACGAACAAATTTTGGGATTAGGCAACAACTTTGAGAAATATGTAATTTACTCTGAAATATTTTAATGATTAACTTACGACTGGGACGATTAATAATTATAACATATTTATGGTACTTAATTGTTAGTAGAAATATACATTCGTAATTTTTTGTCTTAACAAATTAAATTGGAATCATTTAGTCATATTTTTTTAAATTTCATCCTTAAAGTTCAAATAATTGTCATCACTGTCAGAATTTTATAGGGTTATACAGAAAAGTAATATTTTTATCGTAAGTTTTGACCTTTTCAGTGTCTTTCCACAAATGTGATTGGATATACAAAATGCGGCAAAATATCATATTGTCATTTCTTATATTGTATGAAATAGGAAAGTGAAGGTTAGACAAAGAACTGTTTTGGTGAGTGTAGATTGGCACAATTTTTGAGGTAAAGGAATTGACTTATTCAAATTTTTGTGACACAGTAAAATAGTATATTATTTGTATGCGGGATACATAATAGTTTATGATGTCAATTACAATTGTTATGATTAGTTAAAATTAGCGTAGATTTTTTGTTCAAATTATATTCGAGTTCTGTGCCTCGGTGTCCAGGGCTGAAAATCAGTACGTGTGTTGAGTCAACACTGTTGACGCTCATTCGACACCATTAATAAAAACCTACAGTGCAGACTCCATTTAGCCCGAGTCAGGGTCCCTGACTCAGGGATAGAGTCCGTTTCTAAACTTTTGTCCGATTTGACCGGACTACTATATTATGGTGTGGATGTTCAAATCTTTCGTAAAAATTTTATATTACTTGACACCTAATTTTTTAAATATTTACGAATCTTTCGCCATCACCAGTAGGGCAAGTAGGGCTCACTTCTTTCAATTATTGAACTTCCAAACCTTTACTTGCTGCGCATAACAAATTTTTAACCTCCATACCAAATTTCAGCTGAAAATAGCAACTTTTGAAAAACGGTATGAATCATCTCCTAGGGTCACTCTGGTTACATTTTGCTCACGTTTGGCTTCATATTCTTGCATGAGAAGCTATTACGTATCACCGTTCCGAATTTCATCTTTTTACGACAATTTCTGAAAATCAGTATGGGTCGCACCATAGGGTCACTCAACATAAAAATTTTGTTAATTTCACATCACATTTTTCCGTTAGGGGTCATTAGCAACCTCTGTACCAAATTTCAGCTTTCTACGACAATTTTGAAATTTTGATGCATAATACCCCACCCACCTCACGGGTCAACCACTTGACCGATTTCGCCCATCTTCGAACTCGTTTCCTAACTTTGTCCAATATGCATATGGTAAAAATTTCAAGTCAATCGGCTCAGCCGTTTTGGCTCTATCGTGCCGGACGGACGGACGGACGGACGGACGGACGGACAGACGGACGTGACGGTTCCATAAGCCCTGACTCGGGCTAAAAACTTCAATCAATCAATCAATTTTAAAAATGTTTCACATGTTAAAGAATGCATAATTTGTTCATCAAGTTCATGTAGTATGGCAAAACTTATAACAAAACGTTATATATATTAAACGTTAAACGTTATATATTCTCATAACCTATTCTAAACTTAATATATTTTATGGCATTTCCAATTACTTTCGCTAATTAGCTTATGATTTTCTAATTAGTTTCCTTCATCAGGTTCCTCGCAGCTTCAAAGATTTCTTTACTTTCGTCATCTTCCTCAAATTCTCCTTGAAGCTTTAAAATTTCTGCAAATATTTTCATCGCCTTTTCCCTTGCCCCACACTTGTTAAACGACATGGCAAAATTTAACCGAGCATAAAGCGTGTCCATGGTTTCACTCTCCAAAACCTTATTTGTACTGTAAATTTGTTCAAAAATGGATATAGCTTTTCCAAACTGTTTCAATTCATACAAAACTCTGCCAATGGAACATCTTGTTTTAACAGTTGTTTTATGCTCTGTTCCAAAGATTGTTTCATGACCGTTCAAAATCTCTTCATAAATTTTTAAGGCACCAGAGAAATCTTCGGTTTTTTCCAAACCCTGTGACAGGAATGATTTCGTATCTAAAGTAATTGGATGCGATTCTCCAAATATTTGGGAATCTGATGCCAAAACAAGTTCAAAAATTTTCTATGGCTTCAGCAATATGACCCTCATTATTTCCGTTTTCCAGTAAATGCACAGCTAAGGAGGAACACTTCACAACATGCCACTCACAGAATCCGATGCCCTTAGGATATGTTGTAGTACCCCATGAGTGTACCAATACCCTGAAACGGTTTGATGCCATGGCCACATTTGCGTCCGCCACACCCACTCAAAGGGGCGAAAAACACGAAAATCATCACCTTCAAAAATTCACCAAAAATCAAATTTTGATCGGATTTCCGCAATTTAAGCATTTTCGTGATCCCAGATAGTTGCTTTATGATATCCGACACCAAAATGAATTTTTTAAATTTTTTGAATATTTTTGAAAACTTCTTGTCCAGGGGTGTGTCTTCGAAAAAATCAAAATTTCAAAAAAGTTGAGTTTGATATTGGATATGATCAAGCAACTATCTAGGATCACAAAAATGCTTAAATTGTGGAAATCGGATCAAAATTGGATTTTTGGTGAATTTTCTATTGAACCAAAACAGGGTATTTTTCGTGTTTTTAGCCCCTTTGAGTGGGTGTGGCGGACGCAAATGTGGCCATGGCATCAAACCGTTTCAGGGTTTTGGTACACTCATGGGGTACTACAACATATCCGAAGGGCATCGAATTCTGAGAGTGGCACGTTCTGAAGTTCCCCTCCTAAGTTGGTAAACTTCCCACAGTTTCTGGATGTCGTTTTCCAAACGCTTTCTCTCGAACGCAATGAACATTTCGAAATACTTGGATTATCGCCTCGGTTAAGTTTTGGTTAATATTTTTTCCGTATAGAAAAGTATACAAACACAATATATGTACTTTCCAATATTTCAGTTTTTTGAATTACCCCGCGGTCGCGAAAATAGACCCTCAAACACCCCTTGGCGAAAAAATTCCTGAAGGCGTCAAAAAAATCGCACACGGTCATGTGATACGTCAATTTTCTTCAAATCGCTTTTAGCATCGAATAAAAATTATGCAAAAGTTAAAAAAAAATTATCCACAAAGTTTTTATTTTTGCCTCTCAAATTCTTTTTTTTTCAAAAAATTCTGACCTTTGACCTGTCGGTGACCTGAAAAATCTACGACGCGGCATTAGTCGGCGTTTAGTTGTTGCACATGTGTGCCAAGTTTCAAACTTCTATGTTCACGACATCATATCGAAATAAAAAATATGCAAAGGTGCCTTCACCCATTTGGCTCACTGTACTTAACGTGCATACTCCCAAAAGCGCTGATGGCCACACCCCCTGTGGGTTAGGATTGAAAAAGTTAATGCAGGAATGTTGGCAGTTTCGATGGGTTTGACCCTGGTAGTAATTTGATGTTGGGCGGTTCCCCAGCCGGTAACGCTGAGGGAATTTAAACCTGGCTTTATTTTTCCACCCCCCTCGCCACGCCCACAATTTTGTTCGTGACCTGGGGGTCATATTTTGCGGCTCCGAGAGTTAAGGGCAGCAATATTTGATCCCTACGTTTCGAATGAAACTCGCTATAAGGTTTTTTGACCTTATGACCTTTAGTACAGGATGATTATGAGGTCAAAGTTTAAAAATTTGAAATTTTGCATTGTTGTCGATTAACCAAAGATTACATTAATTGATTAAAATCATAATCTGCAATATTTCAATTTCGGTATTTCAATATTGAAATATCGATATTTCAGTATTTGAATACCGAAAACTCGGTATTGTAATACCGAAATATCGATATTTCGAGATCTCGAAATATCGATATTACATGCCCTAGTATTAATCCTTCTGCTCGAAAGGTTGGACCGACGGATTATGGATTAATATTAATAATGCGGATTAGTTTTGTTATTAATAATCCATACTCACGATGGTTTTATTCTTTGGGGTTATTCCAGGATTAATTTTAATTCCTGAAAAATTTGGATTGAGATGAATTTTAAAAGTTTTCATTGCATAAATATGGATTAGTAATTTTCTTAATCGGGAACAGAGTAATCCCTCTGGGAATATGAGATATCCTGACATGACATAAAAATCTACATATTGCTCTATTTACTCCTTCAGGTCCGTATCTGCTTCGAAATCTGTACATGAAAAAGGAGACGAACCCATTTCATGGTCCAACCCTTTGTTGTCCCAAAACGTTGGGATGGTGGAAACCCATAAAACCAGCGGCAATTAAGAAATTGAACGTACACAATTTACGAAATTTTATTTCATGACGAGGACATTAATTAAATATTTATGAAGGTTTCATCGTTTTTATCTAGGATTCCACTAAATCCTCGATAACTGCCGTATTCACTGCCTGCATAGGTGGAGCCTTTAAGAATCTGGCGGAAGCGGCCACCCACCCCCGGAAAAATTGACCTCTGCGACCTGCGCGGCCCAGATTCCGTATCCAAATATAAAAGCGCAGAACAGATTTTGTGTCCTCTTTACACCAATTCATGCCCAAGTGGAAGATTCATTGGTAAGAAGTTATACAAAAATGACTCACAATGCGGAAGTGTGAAGTGGTTATCTCTGATCTTGACATTCTTGAAATCATGACTTTCAACACTTTACGAAAATCTTGCAAATTTTGACCCGATTGCACAAACTAGACATGTTTACTCGCTAGAATTACATTAAGCAATTAAAAGACCTACTTTTAGAAAGGTTAACAGGTTTTAGAAAACTCTTTTTATATAAATTTAATGTCTTTGCATTTTTTTAAATTCAGGAATAGAATGAAAAATTACCAATGCACTGTTATAATTTTGGGGAAGTAATTTTGATCAATCAAGTTTTAAATTTTAGAAATTGGGTTGACATTCCAAAATTAACAACGTTCTGAAAAATCACGATCTTGACTGAAAATGTATTTAAAGAATCCGTTGCACACAAAAACACGGAGATTCCAGGAAACGCAAAAATATTGG